CTTAATTATTACCGAAATATTTCTAAGCCCAGCCCATGCCCCGAGTTGATTATACGTTTTGTGGAATTCGCTATTGTAGACTCATTGTAACACACCTTTTTTTTTTTTTAACCCCCTCAATCCCTGTCCACCAGATGGTCACCGGCTATACTAAAGAACAAAACAATTTAACCACATTCGGTTCCTTGTATTCCTATCAAGAGCTTTTGAAAGCTAATAACAAGTGACTCTGTTGTGGAGAGCACTGAGGATTGCAAAGTGTTTAACATACATTGTCTCACTTGATCCACAAACCTGGGAGCAGTTACAATAGTGGAACCTCTATGTGAAGTGGTGCCTGCCACTGTGTGTTTGGCAAAGTAACAAACAATCTCATCTGGTCTCAGTTACAGTTGCAAATTGTAACCTCCTGGGGTTGGACTAGGTGACCTCAAGGGTCTCTTTCAGTCCCTAAAACCTAGAATCCTACTCCAGGTATTGTACTAATAAACCTGGATCTCTGTCTCCACACCTAGGATGACTGCCCAGGGTTACTGACTGCTTATCAATTTCAGTGGCCCAAGAAGATAAGCTCTTGCCCGCTATGGGCACCCAAATAAAATACATGATCCATTGAGTCTGGCTCCTGTAAGACGTCTGCCTTTGATCTCCATGCCTGGATTTGCTGGAAGGAAACTAGGAGACCAACTCTTTCCATCCAGTAAGCATTTAGTAAGTGCCAGCTATGTGCTCGGCCCTGAAAAGACAAACAGATAGATAGATAGATAGATAGATGGATGGATGGATGGATGGATGGATGGATGGATGGATGGATATAGATATCTACAGATAGATATAGATACAAAGATATAGATAGATAGATAGATAGATACCTGAAATGGTCCCTGCCCTCAAGATGGGGGAAACAATATGTGCACAAAGATAAGTAAATATAAATACAAAATGATTTGCGAGTGAAGTAAGCATCACAACCCACTGGGAGGCCACCAGGGGAAAAAGAATTGATGTAGGAAGTAGCAGCTAATTGGACCTTATCCCTTAGGACCTGGGGGTACCAGTCCCGGGTTATAAGGTAATATTGCAAATGCGATTGTTAACAATAACAATTATCAAACTGTAGGTAAAATCACTGGGATACGAGAAAACACCTACATTTAAAAAAAATTATTAATGGGCCCTCATCCCTCACATGTACTTTAAGCCAGTCTTCAAAATTAAAACAGAAGTCAGAAGGTTTAATAGGGATTGGACAAGTTTAAAGGGAAGTAATGTTAACATCAGCTAAAAATACAAATTTCTTGAGGCCACTGATGTTCAATTCCACTCAAACATTTAATTTATTAAGCCCTACCATATGCAAAATGGATAAGAAGATATCATACCTGCCCTAAAGAAATGTACAGGCTAGTAGGGGGATGATACATACATAGATAACTATAAAATGAACACAAGCACACTAGAGAATTATAAAACGAAAGTGCTTTGTGATGGGGAGGGGGGAGGGGAGAGAGGAAGGATGTTACTGACTGGTGGGAAGAATGTGGGAAGATTTCATGGAGGACTCCGAGGGCATGGGCAGGAATTCAGCAGGTAAAAAGAGGGAGGGAGGACGCTCTAGGCATAGGAAGCACTGAGATGGGAAAGGACAAGAAGTGTTTGAGGGACTGAGGAGTCCAGGCCCAAAGCAAAAAAGAAAAGGAGAGGATGGGCTGTCCCCAGATTGTGGATGACCTTGAATGGAAGACGGGAGAGTTTCAATTGTATTTAATAGACCTTACAGTCAACTAAGGTTGTTGATACTGGGCTGTAACACAATCCAATCTATGCATAAGGAAGATGCTCGACACCAAATACATAGTATAATATCATACTAGCTCAAGTTTCTTCAAGCCAACTGCCCCCCACCTCTTTTCTCCAAGACTTGTTCTAAACTCAGAAAACTGAACCTTGCTAGACATTTGGCTCACTAACTAAAAAGATGCTCCCCCTGCCCAAAACAACATGAGCAATTCCATAGGCTTTTCGAAAATCTCACACGGTCACTTTGACATTTTTCAGCCACTGAAATTCTGCAAGAAAAGGAGTTTCTCAGGCAAGGGAATGCTTCAGTGTCAAGTGTACTTTCAGGTGTTCACAAGCCCAAAAGCTGAGCAGACATTCTGCCCTGCCCCCCCCCCAACTACCACAACAAAAACAGAGCATGATTAGGGTGAAACTAGGGGCCAGAGCACCCTAAGAAAAAGGGTGGTACCATCTAGAAGATCCCAAGCTGAAACTGAAACACCAGAAGGTAACTAACTTCCCAGCACTTCGCAGACCCTTGTTCTAATGAACTGGGAACTGGGGAGTCTTTGTTCCCACCTTATGTGGTCTAGGCCTACTATTAGCATTCAAAATGGTCAAGATGAAAAGTGAAATTTCTAACTAGCTCCTGGCCACTGGACGTCCAAGGAAGGCAGTGAAATTGGTAGATCGAAGGCCACATGTCATTAAGAGGCAATAGTGGAGAAGAACTTCAAAGGGTGTTGGGTACTACTCTGTAAGTTCCTTGAGGCCAAGGTCTGGCCTATTTATCTTCCTGTCTCAGGGCTCAGCATCAGGCACAACAGGGCCCTGCAAACTCTCTATGTTGAATCATAAAACAACTCAACTTCACTAATCAAACAGATGATGAGTGGAACCTCTATTTTATTATTATATCGCCCTCCTGTGATATTTTAGCATTCATTTGAATTAACTAATGCAAAGGGAGGAGGAGGGTCGGAGAAAATGAATACTTCAGGGTCTCATTTCTTTGAAACTCCAGAAGTTTAGACACTAGTGTGAACATGACAAATATTTTCTTACCCATTCTCACCATAAAAATATCCTCAGGGTAATTCAGAAATAAATGGCGGCTTTCTCAAGCGCAAGTTGCACCATTTAAAAAAAATGCATATTCTAAAAGTGAGTTAAAATATCCATATATATTTATATATAACATATTTTATATATTTATTTAGAATAAAAGCAGATTTCAAGGTGCTTTCAATTCCTCTTGATTCCAAAAGAGCTGATTAAGTTTAGAAATGCTTACTTCTTCCTTTGTAACCCACTGTTACTTAAGGCTAGTGATATAATTAGAGAGAAGCGTAAAGTGTGGACCTAGTCCATTTGAGGACTGATACTTTTGTCAAGCAAGCTAAAGGAGTGAGACTAAAATATGTTTCTATCTCCCCCCAAAACCAACCACAAGTCTTTGTGCATGTGTGTATGCATATATGCATATATACATATGTGTGTACATACATATATACAATGTATATAAAACTTAAAAAGAAGAGGAGGGGGAACCATAAACAAACCGGTTGTTGGTTGAACGAATGGATGCAAAGACTACTTAGCCCTGTTATTTAGGGAGAAATGACTTTTAAGAATTCCTAGCGCACCATCTCAAAGTGTGCTGTGAGGGACTCACTCCTAAATAAAACAAGCACATATGTAGACTTTCATACACATCCATCCTTTAAAAATCTGGGACACTTAAAAATAACAAGACACATTTTTCACCCACCAGTCCCAAGCTTTCACTGGGATAACAAGGTCAATTCACTCTCTGAGTTACTACCACAAAGAATTCCAGGTTGCCTCAGAGGTCATTCTATCTCCAAACACTTTAGAAGGCCACATTTTGCTATCAGATAGTCTTTGCTGCTGCATACATGGTTCCATCATCTCCACGCTAAACTACTGGAACTCCTGCCTTGGAGGGTTTCCCTTGAACCTTATCCAGAAACCACAGCAGTTAAAAGAACATGAGAGTTTGACACCTTCTGAATTCAAGAATGAAGGGGCCCCAGAGACCAACTCTACAGCTCGCACCTGCTGCCTGATGGCAAAAAAACAGTTATATGTCTTGGTGAGCAGTAAAGTAGACAGGATTTGCATAATCACTTGCATCCAAGGATCTCAAAACACTAAGGAAAAAATGAGCCCCCAGCACTCATTTTGGGGTTTTATCTACCCAGTTCAGTGGTCCCTCCTTGGGGGACCCAAGTCTGAATCCCAGGTGTGGCCCACCCTCCCTAGGGCCACCTTCTGGGGCTTCCTACTGAGTATTCGAGGCCAGCTAAAGGAAACAATGGCAGCTTCCCTCCATTTTTTGGATGTGTCTTCTCAGTGGTTTAAGACAGAGAAGGCTCTATTTTCAGAAGAAAGCTTTCTTCTGATCAGCACACAATGACCATTTGCTTTGATACTGCTCTAACAGAAGTTAAGACATCTTTAGATAGAAAAAAATATCATGGGTTTTTTGTTTGTTTGTTTTTGGCTGTCGTTTGTCTGAGACACAGAGATCTTTGATTTCACAGACATGGGGAACTCCCAGTGCAGAGATCTTCTCCACCCTCTGGAAACCTCTCTACAACTTAGAGCTTTGGAACATTAAGGACTGCCAAGCCACCAAAAGTTAAGCGACTTGCCTGTGGGTCACATATCGGAGCCAGGATTAGAACTCAAATCCTCCTATCTCTGAGGCTGGCCCCATGCCACAATACTGTTTTTACCAACTAACAATATTACTCTGGCCTCTCCATAGTTTGAAGGCTTCCCTCTCTAATTACACTGAAACACACCTTAACCTAGTTTGGGGTTACCCAGTGACTTCTCCTTTGTACTGAAGTGTGCCGCTGGGTTCAGATGAAAGAACCCTAACCTCCCAATACCACCAGGGTTGTAGCATTATGAGCATTTAAAACCCATATCCCACACCCAAAAGTTTCCTGCTCCCCGCTCCCTTGGCCTGACTGAGTTCAAAAACGATAAATACCAGTGTGGCCCAACTGGAATCTAGTGGGGTCTCTCAAGATGACTTGCCCTTCCCCCATCTACCAGGAGAATGGTAAAGGAAGCCAAAGCTGGGAGCACCTGCCTTCAGTTACTGAATTAAGTGGGGGGGGGAGGGGAAGCCTACATGTAATGGAGGTGACAGACACCAGGAGGGAGGGGAGGGGTTAACTCACCTGGAGCACAAAGCCTCCATACACCTCAGGAAGGAGGAGATGCCACAGATGACAGATCCATGGGCGGCCCTCTGGCCAGCCTCTCTACAGGAGCCTGGGAAATCTCCTCGTCACTAAGCCCCCCACCTTGCCAACCCTAGGAGGCATCCTCTCCCCTTCCCCTGTGCCCATAGCGCCTCCCATGTGGTGGGATCTGGGGGCTGGGGGGCAGGAGAGAGGCAAGGGAAGGGAGAACAGCAGAGTTTTCATCCTGGGAGATGTGGGAGCGTGGATTCATTCCTACGTTTGCCCATCCCCTCCCACCCTTCTCAGGAAGGCAAACTCCCAGGAGAGAGCTGCTGGGCTTTACCCATCAGCCGGCACCAGGCATTCCACTCCCCTCCCCCCAGGAGGCCAGGGGCCTGAATGCAGTCTGCCTGCTGACCAGATTCCAGTAATAGCTTTATGTAAATGAAGTCCAACTCTCACAATTTGCCAGTGTGCACTGCACTAGCTACGGGGAAGGGGAAGGGGGGGGGGGCGGGGGGAAATCCACATTACACATCAACAAATCGGAAGGTTAATTTGAAACTCACAGCCCTGCTGCTTGTCTGTGCCTGGCTCTCCTCTCTGTGCAAAGCCTGACATCTACAGTTCTGTCTGGCACAGTCAGGAGCTGCTCATCGGAAGCGCGCGAGGGACGCCGGCTCCAGTGGGCAGGAGCTCTCGCGCGCCTTCCTCCAGGCCGCTGGGCTGGCCAGTGCCCGGCGGGCTTTCCACAACCAGGCCAGAGCACAAAGTCACTGCAGCCCGGGAGGGCCGGCCACTGGCCCAGGGGATGCCAAGAGGCAGGGATGGGCATTGCTGTGGACACCCTGCCATTAGCCCTCTCTTCCCAAACTGCCTTCTGCACCCATTGTGAAAAGGTCAAGGGAGAACAAAAGCAAGGCATCCCTGGAGGGCACTGACCCCCCTCTCCAGAAGGCAGAGAGGCTGGCCTAGAATTTGTTGTAGTCTTCAAGAAAGGAAAGCTGGCCCTTTTTTTTTTCCTTTTCTTTCTTTCTTTCTCTTTTTTTTTTTTTTAAAAGAGCCTGTCACTTCAGAATCTTATCCATTAGTCTCCCAGCCCCGGCCACGTCACAGCCAAACCCCTTGCATGGGTGCGTTAGCCAATGTGGACAGGAATTTCTTTTAAACACACACCCATCCTATTAACTGCTTTACAGAACACTTCTGTTTTTCAGCTGCAGAAACTTATAAAAACATCCCCTTCTCCCAGTCCAAAGGCTCAAGTTTATACCACTCCTGCAAGGCAGAAATAAAGCAGGAGACTGCATTGGGCCTGTCCTTCCCTCAACAAGACTGGCTAACAGTTCCATCATTTCACACATGCTGTATAACATTCCATATTGTTTTTTAGAGAGAGAGAGAGAGAGAGAGAAAGATTTCTCCCAGCAGGGTCAAACTGAACACTACTGCCCCACTGACTCATAATGATCATAGCATTATCAGTCAACTTTACATATCCTAAATTTAGCCTTCATCATCTTTGTATAAATATCAAAAAGCCAGAAAAATCTCAGAGGGGGAGGGGGGAGGAAAAGGGGGGGGGTGTTCCTTGATGAAGGTCCACAGACGACCTCTGAGCTCCATTATTTCCTCTGAAAGAGGCACCTGCTCTTACTCTCAATACAATCCTTCCACCATCTTGAGTTACAGTCTCCTCTGAGTAAAATAAAAATGTATCAGGAAACCATTTGCATCCTAGAAATAAACAAAGCAAAGAACTGTACGTATAGAAGAATATTGGCATCTTGGGTGAGAGGGAGGAACGTCACATTTACAAAGACTATTTTGCCCCCTTTACAGGAAATCTGAGGTTCCAGACCATTCAGGGCCCTAGCCTATTAGCAGGAGGCTAGTAATCAAGGAAATTCGGGAATTGTCTAACAAAAAAGAAAGACCAAAAGGTTCAGCTAATACCTTAGCAAGCAAGGCCTCTCTTAGAGAACAAGGCCCTAAGAAACCCAGGAGACAGCCAGTCCAAGTTACACATTCCAACACGAGAACCTGGGGAGGGGAGAAGCAGAGGGGGCCAAAACAAAACAAAAACATGAAAGGTGGTGAATGACTTTTTAAACCAGAGTATTATTTTTTTTTCAAGTGCTCTGGTTTCTAGATACACTGACTTCAGGCCAGCTGTAAGAAGAGTATTTTCATTGTGATGTTAGCTAGCCACACCATGATCCTAAACAGGGTCAGACAACCTTAAAGAAAATCATTAAATAATTCAATTGTAAAAGTGACTATGAATCCTAGATGGTGATGATGAGGATGATAAAAATAGCAGTGGGACTGAGATACTGTGCCCACTCCAGAGATGATACTATGCACAAAAGTCCCTTCAGGAAAATGAAGGAAAGATTCCAGGTCTGCACTCTACCTACAAGGAACACACAAGCTGTCACATTAATTAGAGACAAAAAGAAAATGTTTGGACTCCCAGGCAAATCTAATTTTGCTGCTTGGCTTCTACTTTTTATTAATAAGAGGGATCCTTGTAATATGATGCCAGGAGGGAGAAGGAGCATTAGTTAAAAATCTTGAATAAAATAAACTAAGACAACCCAAGAGCGAGGGCACAACGCTCCATGAGGTGCACGGTGCTCTTGAGGCAGCCCTGAAGGGGCCAGAGCAGAAGCAGGGTCTTCAGCAGGGGCCTGCTGTCCAAGGCAGCATTCTCTGCCTCGGAGGCCTAGCCATCCTAAGGGCTCACCTGCCCCAGTCACCTACCTGGGAGCTGGCCCCAGCCCAGGGAGAGCGAGGCCTTGTGCAAAAGTCAAACAGGTCCTCACTCCAAGGACCACTACACCCACAGTGATGCCCCGTTTATCACATTAGCCTGTCCCAACACACGGCACCACGTTCCTTTTCATCAGAAAAGAAGCCCATGTGAAGGTCACTTGTTCCTTCAGCTATCACATGAAGAATCACCATTTTCTATGAAATAGAAAACCCTCCTTTTCCTGTTGCCCACCCCCCCCTCCCCATGACACGCTGCACATTTGGCTCTCCTGGGAACAGGTGCATGAAGAGAACACCTCCAGGCTTACCCTGCACCGACAGACTGACATTCTCAGAGCTCTGTCCTAAAACTGACAAAAATCCTCAGCCAGAAGGGGCAAGGCCTCCTTTCCCAGCTCTCTACAGCTGGTCTAGCCTCATCTGGAAATCATAATAGACAAAAGCCAGGAATATAAATATTTAAAAATAAATAAGGGAGCTTCCCCCATCCCCTCACCCCTCTACTCCTACCCTCTTCCAATTCCCAAACCCAAAGGAAAGCCTCAGAAGCTTGGGTGGTTGCTAAATCACCCTGACCCCAACTGTAACACCAGACCTGCCTCTCTCCACATACATATGCATGCACGGTGTAAATACATACATCCAGACACAGGCACACACATATGTGCACACATGTACACCTCTCCATATCCTTTCACTTTAACAAAGGCAAGTGTGATTTCTAAACGACATAGTTGTCTGCTTCCTGACATGTAAACCTTGTATTTTCAATACAACTGGGTTTCTACATATTTATTCCTGCAAATCCTCTCTTTCCTCGAATTACATGTGCACATTGATTTTAAAACCAGTGCTTAAATAGCACTGGGGTTCTAATAAAGAAAAAGCCAGAAACAGGCAAAGGAAAACCCCCAAAACACAACTCAACCCACCCCCCAAACCCTTAATGCTGAGGATCACTCCTTGCCCTCAGCTTACCCCATTATGCCTAGGCAGTTGTATTTAGGTACCCGGGATGGTCTACATACCGGAGTCCCTTTACAGAATGCTGATTTTCCACACAGCAGACCACAACACTCCTTCAAAACTATTAAGAGCTAGTGTGCCAAGGCCCACATACAGATGTTTTGATTCACATTCCCCCGACACAACAAACTTCAATGTCTCCATCTATTGTGGCCATGTTAATTCCATGAGTTAATTTTTTTCCCCATCCAAACTGTAGATGATTTTAGGTGTTGAAAACCATAATTCACTACAAAAGAACATTGTCATCTGGTTTATTTACCCACACTGACCCCCCTCAACCCTCCTTCAAAACAAAGACAAGACCCCCAGAAAGATGTTATTCGATCCTGAAATGTTTTCAGAACAAATTTTTTTTAATAATAAGGCCCAAGAATTAGAAACTTACAAAGAAAAATTAGTCTTAAAAGATTTAAGAAGTGAAAAAATATGTATGCCTATACATGTGCTTATGTATATACACGTACATGCATGTAATATGTATACATGCATGTGTGTTGAATGATTTCTGACATGGTAGAGGGCAAACAGAATTATCCATGCAAGATTTCAGACCCCTCATTTTCTATCCAGTGGGGCATTTTTACATTTGCGTTACCAAACCTTCAAATGAGGAGTTTTTAATGACAAAGCAGTAAGACCCTTACGTGCAGCATCACAATGGGCACCTATTTATTACTGGAGTAGTTTAGGGGAAGGGGAATCTGAGTTGGGCTTTTGCTTTGTTCTTGGCCCATCTCCCCTGTCTGACATCTATTTACACTTGGCCTGATGGAAGCCACTGACTAGGTGGAGAGAAGGAAGCTTGGAGTGGGGGAGTGTAGAGGGGAAATGCTGCACAAAAGTGGGAGGGAGTTATTAACTCTTTAAATATCTCCTATTTAAAAATCCAAACACGAGATCAGAAATTTTACCTCTTTTCTAATGTGTACCGACCATTCTGCCTTACATGAAACATGGGTTAACACAATCATAATTAAACACCAGAAGCACGATTCATACGAACAGTAAAATCAGGAATCTGATCTAAGCTCGTGTTGCTTAGTAATTCTTTGCTGCCAAACGGCCAAGACCAGGATTGGGGGGAGTGGGAAAGAGATGATACAAAAAGGTACGTCCACTCTTCCTCCACCCCTCCCCTCCCCACCCCCACTCTCTTCCAAATCAGATCATCTCACTGCTACCTTTTTTCAATACGTATGTTTCACTTTTTTTAAAAGAGCAGACTTAAAAACATGGAGCCAAAATTTCAAGT